CTGAGCAAGGATCCTCTAGAGTTTTTTTTTCCTAAAGTTTCCTAGACTGGTGCATTATGTGGTTGAGATTTAATGACAAGTCACATCAATTTTTCAGCATTAAATCTCAACCACACAATACACCACTTTAGGAAACTTTAGGAAAAAAACACTCTAGAGGATCCTTGGTGAATGTTTTGATACTATGGTCATGTTATTCTCATGACAATATTATAGTCATGGTACCAATGCTTCTCAATAATTTTGCTACTTTTCAGTGAACGTGGAACAATCATCTTAATGTGCTTTGATACAAATGCCATACCTTCATATTTATTTATTTTTATTATGGTTGCCATTGTATGTAACATGATATGAAACAATCATCTCGATATGCTTTGATATATTACCTCAGAATTTTAGAGAAATTCAGACATATTGGATTGTTGGCTGACAAACCAGATGTGCATTTTATCGAATGAATTTGGAAACTGATAATCTTTATGCTCATTCGGCTGCATAGATGCTCATCATGCCAGTTGAATGTCCCATTGCCTATATGTCTCAACCTTTCATCACCTTTTAGCCACTGCTTAAGGACAAGGATGCTGGTTTTTTTTTTTTTTTTTAATTGAGTTATCCCTCAATAAATTGATATCGAAGAAATTTATAACAAAGAAATTTAAAGTTAGAATGAATAATGAAGAAATTTAAAGTTAGGATTTATAGAGTTTAAGAGGAAGAAGAGGAGAAAGAGTGATTTTATATATCAGGAATGAAAATATTAACTCTACATCAGCAAAATATATATATAAATCCTAACGTAGTGAAATGACCATCATACCCTCAACTTAAGTAAATATTAACAGAAGGACAATAAAGAAATAAAACATAAAATAACTATTACAACACTCCCTCTCAAGCTGAAGCATAGAGGTCAAACATGGCCAGCTTGACAGATAAACGATGAAACGAAGACCGAGCCAAAGGTTTAGTTATAATATCACCCAATCATCATATGCTTTATCATCAGTTGTAGGAGGTTCGGTAAGGAAGCGGGACTTCTTCTTGCCACGCAAGAAAATTTTGACTGCATCAGCCCAAGCCAAGTACCATTCAATTTCTTTGTAGTGATAGATTTAGGCATGTCATCATCTTTACCCATAGCCATAGCTTTAGCCTTAATCTCAGCCATAATGATCAATTACACAGAATATGCAATAAACAAACACGAATGTAGCAAAATACTTGCAAATAGTCACTATTCGCAGCAATAAGTAGCCACAACAACCAAATATAGACAACAAAACTAGCTCAACAAACAAGAATTCATGACAAATCAGGCATATAAGTGAGGAAGACACAAATCTATCAAACAGATTTAGACCCAAATTGAACCAACACAACAATCCATTAGCGGAAATTAACACTGCAGATCAATTATCCCTTGCTAGAAGGATTTCAACCCTTATATAGTCAATTCCAATGGGTAGAAACGAAGAAAAAAAAAAGTCTACTGAACAAATATTGAAGCTGCTAAACAGATTGAGGCACAAATTTGGACCAAATACTCACCCAACAACATCAACACCAAATATCACTAGGGAGGTAAGTTTCGGCTCCTATAGGATATATATATATTTCAGCAAGAAGAAGGCACCAAAAAATACGAAAAAAATCGAAAATAGAAAACTCAAAAAATTCCACAAAAATCACCATAAATCTCAGGAGAGATTTTCGAGCCTAGGGGTATGGGTTTCGTCTGTACAGTACTGATGTCATGCTGATGTCATTGTACGAATGATGACGTCAGCACGTCGCGGTCACCTCCGATTGATCTCCAGAATCTATAGAACAATTTCTAATAAAGGATAGATTGCTCTGACACCAAGTTAGAATGAATAATGAAGAAATTTAGGGATAGGGTTTGTAGGGTTTAAGAGAAAGAAGAAGAAGAGAAAAAGTGATTTTATATATCTGGAATGAAAATATTAAGAGGTTATTTGGGGTGTCCTAAATAAGTGTACTTTTTGTCTTTTTAGACTAAAAAATTGAGGAAAAAATATGGATGTTTGGGTTAACTTTTTAACTTTTTATAGAAAATGTATATTAAAAAAATGTATAAATTAGTGTGTAGGGGAAAAATAGGATTGAGAGTTATGCAGCCATAATTTTTGACTTTTGGTAAATAGTGATAACTTTTTAACTTTTTGAGTAACTTTTTGACAACTTGTCAAACTTGGCCTAAGTCTACATCAGCAAAATATATATACAAACCCTAACATAGTGAAATGACCATCATATCCTCAACTTAAGTAAATATTGACAAAAGGACAATAAAGAAATAAAACAGAAAATAACTATTCTAACAGAGGAATTTGAGCATTGATTTATTAAAAAGATATACCTAGCAAGCAATATGGATTACCTTGCATAAACTATGATTGCTTTTTTTTATTCCCTCTTTTTATTACCTTTCCTTTTCTTCAAAACTAGTGTGCAAGTAAGGGAACAAGAGTATGAGAAACAATCCAATGTACTCAGAGTTCTATATTTATTAATAAAATGTTCTTCAGTTTTTGTGGAATTAGTTTTGATACACTTAAACCCGTTAGCATGTTGTAAGATGTAGGCAATCGGCTGATCAGTCATGGAACAGGAAACTCAATACATAGCCGATCAGGAAAGGACTATACAAGTTTTACAGGCAGGGAAGCATAAACAGCTGTACTTTGTATTTACTATTGTTTCCATGTAAAGTGATTAATACTTTGTGGTATGTGCATGATACCAGTTTTGACACATTCTTGCCAGTTTCTTGCCTTACAGGCTGAACGATCTGAAGTTTCAGCCACGCTTGAATTTCGTGATCAGAAAAATCTTATATTAGGAATGGAGAACAGAGTCGTAAGGCAGCGATTAGACGGTTTATCCCAGGAGCATATGATAAAACACTGTAAATATTCTTTCCTAATGAGACGATTTTATCTAGTAGCAGTAGCTTCATTGCTAAATCATTCTATTTATTGAATAATAATGTCTTACACAAAGCAGGAGCTAAATTTGCCTCGCTTCTATCGAATATGAATTATGAAATATGTTGCATCAATGATATTACTCCCCTTGGTTTTCTTTGGAACAAATTTGCGACTTTGCAGATGTTTTTAAATGTCAATGTTTTGTGCAATAAACTAAGACGAACTCTCTTAAATTTTCCAATTTGTTTATCAAACAAATTTATTCATTCATTTTATTTTTTTTTTTAATCTTCTTGTCAAGTTTAGCTGTTTACTGAATATTGTGTATTGTATCCTCACACGGTCTTGATTGGTACAGTGGAGCAGGATGTGTTGGAAAGAGAAATCACAAGGCTTAGAACACTATGCCAACTTCATCAGCATCAGAATTCCAAGCATTGCCGAAACAAAACTTGGGACATTGACCCCCAATTTGCAAGCCTCTCCATTAAAAACCAGGAAGCAGATCCCGGAACTGGTTCAGTTGGTGGTTCAGCAATAATTTTAATTTAGATCTCAATATCTATGTGTATTACTTATTAGTGGTGTTCATTTTTATTTCCTCATTTTCTCTTGATGATATATGTGAGACTCAAATAGAGCCTTTTGATTGTGTATTAGAACAGTCAGGCCCTGCCTTGTCTATTGGGCTTCTAGTGTATGCCTAGTACCTTTGGAAAGCAGGTCTGTTAGAGAGAGAGAGTAAAGAGGCCAGTTCTCTTTTATATAGATGTGCCATGCTTTTGTAAGTATCATCCCCTCATTTTGGGAAATTACAAGAATCAACTCTTTGATAGTGTGGAAATTTTATAAAAGGTTCTGTTAATGTGTGTTCTTAGGTACATGTTAAGAGGCATACAAACTTGTATGTTTTGCATAAAAGTATGTATAATTTTTTCAAACCTCTCAACAAATTTATTTTTATAATGAGGAATTCTTCCAATGCATGAAATGTTACATTGAACTCACTTCAACCTTGAAGAGTAAATTCTTAATATCTTTAAGTTGCAAATATCATATAAAGGCAAGGCAAGACGTTGTTAATAGTAGTATGGTAAGAAGAGATCAATCCCTATTCTAAATTATTGTTTCCATTTTATGTGAGATTTAGTAAGAGCACCAAGCACCCCTTGTGAAACTAAAGAAAAATTATATTTGTAATTGAATTTAGGGAAAATATCAAACAAATCTTAATTTTCCAATTAAATTTTCATTAAGTCCTAGCAATGGAAGGTTAATTCATGAAAAAATTATTGGAAAAGGATGATTTATTAGATAATTTCCCTGAATATGTTTTACCATTTAGTTTCAAAACTTATCATGATTATAAAATAATAGAACTTATCATATTTATAAAATAATCATATGAGAAATTACATAGAAGATAAAGGGTTTCAATAAAATAGTTAGATGACATACGCCTTCAAAACATGCTCGTTGAACTTCACACTAATAATGTGTGTAGTTAGAGAATTTCGGGAGGGCTTTGGAAAGGAAAATGAAAAAAGTATGTGAAACTAAGTGAAATGTAAGTATATTTTATTTACATTTCACCTACTTTTTCTATTTCCCTTTCTAAATTTAATTTTCTTAGGGTGTACATACCCATTTAAATTTCTCAAATGATGTGTTCCCTAAGGCAAGACTCTATGAACTTGATATGGTCCTTCCTAATTAGGTAACTGTAGACCGCCCGAACTTCCTCCGCGCGCCCCCCTTTTCAAAGAGGGCACGAATTTGGGTTCTAGCTACTACAGTTTGGACTCCTGTCACGATTCTGAATCTAATCTCACAAAGTGCAATGTAAGACTGATAAATCACCAAAGAGTCCAAATCTGGCAAATCGTTTTGGAAAATCGATTTTAATCAAAAAGCACCAAATATGGACTGTTTTGCCAGATTTCAGAGTTGCCACCTAAATATTTTGTTTTGGAAAAATTTAGGAAACCCAGACTCGTGCCTAAGGCCACGTGTCCGTCATCACCAAAGTTGCCTCGGCTCAGAAACTTGGGTACGAGAGGGGAAAGTCCTGAAATGAGCACCCCCGCTCGCCCGATCAAAGGATCGGCCTCTACTAATCATGATATGTTTTTTTGAAAACACATGTGTTCTTATTCCAGTTTATTAGCTAACTTACTATGTGATGTGCACAATATACAAGTATAGACTAAATCGCTTGATTTGGAACAAAACATTTCATGTTTGTTTTTTGCAAAGTGGTTTGAAATTGCTACCCTCAAGTAGGCTAAAACGCGGATTTGCCACCAAACAAGGTGAGCTTGAAACAACATGATTTTGCCACTCCAAGTGGGCTTAAAACGCACATTTTGATGAATTGTTCCAATTCAAGTAATGAAGCCATCATCCACAGGCATTCATGCAGTTAAAGAAATTAAGCAAATAGCCTCATTGCAAGCATGCTGTCATGGCAACACTCACACACATGCAAGGATGCTAAAGTGTAAACACTTACAGTGTACTCCGAGTCCTAACTATACAAGATGCCTAATGCAACACATGTAAAAATGCAACTAATAGGCTCGGCTATCTAAAATGGCATATGAATGCAACACTCGATAACATGCTTTGAAACACGTATTCAAGTAAGTATTGAAATTCAATACAGTTTGAATGATGCGCTGAGCCCGGTGCATGCAATACAAATGAAAGATGCACGCATGCAAAGCATAAGGTATGCTAATTGAAATATGCCATAAACTAACCATCGAAAGCGGTTAAGTAAAAGGGAGAAAGACGTGGGATTGGAAAACATTCACACATACACACTTATTACAACATTTGCCCTCTCGACGGAGGGTCCGAATAAATAGGCTAAGCTACGCTAAGCTACTTATTACAAACCAAACTAATTAACTATTCTAAGCTAATTAATTACAAACCAAATTGAAACTAGCTATGCTAAGCTAATTAGAATATTACAATAATGAATTAAATTAGCTAAATACATTAACTAATTAATTACAAAAACGACAAACTAACTAGCTAAATAAATCAGTTAAAATGGCCTCGATGGGAGAGAGATATGCATGCTTGGTTTACATCGCCCGGAAATACATTGCGTTGCCATGAGTTGTCTCTGTTTGCACTCGCGGTGACCTCAGAGCATCGAACACACTTTCAGGTTGCCTCTACCTCAAAACAGGAGCATTTTGGACAAATTTGCTGCAGGTGGCCGGCCAGCCACTTCAACTGGTCAGCAGGCTACTACAACTGGTCAGCAAGCCACTACAACTGGCCGACAGGCTAGTGCAAGTGGCCGGCTGGCCACTTCCTTTTCCAGAACCTCAATTTTGCTGCAACAGAGATCAACAAAGGCACAATAATGCATTTACAAGGAAATGTATGTGTAACTACTCTCCTTATCATTTCTCAAGCTCAAAGGAGCGTAGTACTCGACTCTCAAACCACCAATCACGCATCTCAATACATGATGGCCAAAGAGCCAAGCTCGCACAATATTAGTGAATGCACAAACAACACGAAAGAGCCTCCGCCTCTATCATGCATGATTAAGAGGGTTTGCGACCAAGAAACGCAACACGTTTCATCACATCGAGTATGAAACGTGCCACATTCCTTGTGTTTGGATTAACGTCCAATCCAAACACAATGCAATGCAAACAAGATGCTTATCTTTCAATGCTAAAGTGGTATGCACAAGACTCTATCAGTTAAACAATGCATGCATGGCATGTTTAGAAGCTAAGGCATCAAAACTAGTGAAGTGTATTACACATGAGGCATGCACTACAATGCTCAAATGGTCAAACCACATATGGACAGACCTAAGATGCTCCAAAACAGTGACCAATACACACTAAAACTTAGGCACAAAAAACAAGGAATGCATGCTCATCCGTTTGCTCGCAAGCAAGGCACAAAACTTAACTTTCAAACACATCGAAAGAGTGACATATATGGGAGCATGGAAGAGGTACAAGCACTGAAATCATATGCCAAACGATGACATATCATGCAAACAACACAAGTATGGCATGCTAGAGTCCTTAAGCACGAAAGCTAGTGAAGTACACAACACTAGGGCTATGCAATGCAATGCTCAATGGACTAAACCAGCCTTAGACAGAAATCATGCATGCCAAGATAGTGGCCAAAACACTCTTAAATGATAGCATGAAAGGCAAGATAATGATGCTCATGCATTGGCTTATCAACAAGGCATAAAGGGCACAACTCTTAAACACAATTAAAGAGTGATAAACATGAAAATTTAACAAGGCTATGTGCTCTAAAATCATGTGAGAAATGATGCCATATCACATAAACATCACAAATAAGGCATGCTAGGAGGCCTAAGGCACAAGGCTAATAAGGGGCACTACACAAGAGGCATGCAATACATGGCACAAATGATTAAACTAGCTATGGACAGAGCTCAATTAGGCCAAAACAAAGACCAAAACATGTTGAGATGGCAACCCGGAAGCCTAGGCAAGCATGCATACGTATTGGCTCATAAACGAGGCATAAGGCACAACTCACAAAAGCTATGAAAGAGTGGAATATGTGAGAGTGTGACTATGCTATACACACCGAAATCATGTGAGAAATGAGGCTAAAGCATGCAATCACCACAAGTAAAGCATGCAAGAGGCTTTGAAACTCAAAGCTAGTCAAGGCCCTTACACTACAACCATGCACAACAAGTCTCACATGGCCAAGATCACTCAAAACAGAGCTAAGGTATGCCAAAATAATAGCAAATACGTGCTGAGATAGAGCTAACACGAGCTAGGATTAGAGGCATGAAGCATGATGCAAACTAGGCCAACAAAGAGGATTACACTACAAGTGCAAGAACCAAGCCAGAGGTGACTCCACCAACCAACATCAGAGCTAAAGCATGCTAAAACTAGAGTAAAATCATGTGGCAGCATAGCCAAAATAAGCTAGAATGATGAGTCAAAGTAGCAAGCATTCAAGGCTAAATAGTAAGATTACACTACAAGTGTAAGAAGCATGTATGAGGTGACTCAACCAAGCCAAAACAGAGTTATGCCATGCTGAAATAAGGCCAAAAATAAGCTGAGAACAAGCCAGCACATGCTAGAATAAAGGACCAAAGCATTAAGCCTACAAGGCAAATTTGCAAGAATTACACTACAAGTGTAAGAAGCAATCAACCAATGGACAAACCAACCAAAAATAGAGCTATGGCAGGTCCAACAAGTCACAAAAACATGCTTGAGCTAGGTCACAAAAGAGTAAAAGAGCATGCTCAAGTATGAGGCCAACAAAACATACAAGCAAGACAAAAGGGGAGGGCGATCACCCCCTCCTATTTTGGACCACAAAAGCAACTTTTTACCACTAAAATTCCTTGGAATTTCAGTGGTAAAAAGGCCAAGCAAGGGAAGAACCAAAAACTTAGAGAGTTGGCTCAAGAGGCCTAACAAGCCAAAGAGCAAAAGAGATGGACCACCCCCCTAAACCCACAAGGTTCAAACCAACACCTTAAAGTCTTAAAATCA